GCAACATTTTTAACAGTTTCATAGCTGGTAAACAAAGTTTTTTCAACTCGTCTTCTCCCAACCCGGCTTGCGAGCTGGTCGAAGTTGAGCAACGTTTTTAACAGCTTCGTAGCTGGTAAACAAAGTTTTTTTCAACTCGTCTTCTCCCAACCCGGCGTGCGAGCTGGTCGAAGTCGAGCAACATTTTTAACAGCTCCATAGCTGGTAAACAAAGTTTTTTCAACTCGTCTTCTCCCAACCCGGCTTGCGAGCTGGTCGAAGTCGAGCAACGTTTTTAATAGCTTCATAGCTGGTAAACAAAGTTTTTTCAACTCGTCTTCTCCCAACCCGCCTTGCGAGCTGGTCGAAGTCGAGCAACATTTTTAACAGCTTCATAGCTGGTAAACAAAGTTTTTTTCTCAACTCGTCTTCTCCCAACCCGGCTTGCGAGCTGGTCGAAGTTGAGCAACGTTTTTAACAGCTTCATAGCTGGTAAACAAAGTTTTTTCAACTCGTCTTCTCCCAACCTGGCTTGCGAGCTAGTCGAAGTCGAGCGACGTTTTTAACAGCTTCATAGCTGGTAAACAAAGTTTTTTCAACTCGTCTTCTCCCAACCCGGCTTGCGAGCTGGTCGAAGACGAGCAACGATTTTAGCAGCTTCATAGCTGTTTTTCTAGAATATCTAGGGACGTTTATAATGTCGTGATTATTAAGGGTCGACTTCATAATTGTAGGTTTTATGGTTTAGCCGAGGTTTATTTTGAGTGGCAACTTCGTAGTTATAAGTTACGTGATCACAAGCTTCGTGGCTTAGTCGAGATTCCGCTCGAGTACATCTTCGTAGTTGTTTTAGGTCGACTTCGTAGTCGTAAGCTTCGTAGCTTAATCGAGATTCCACTCGAGTACAACTTCGTAGTTGTTTTAGGTCGACTTCGTAGTCGTATGCTTCGTAGCTTAATCGAGATTCCACTCGAGTACAACTTCGTAGTTGTTTTAGGTCGACTTCGTAGTCGTAAGCTTCGTAGCTTAATCGAGATTCCACTCGAGTTACAACTTCGTAATTGTTTTAGGTCGACTTCGTAGTCGCAAGCTTCGTAGCTTAATCGAGATTCCACTCGAGTACAACATCTTAGTTGTTTAGGGTCAACTTCGTAGTCGCAAGCTTCGTAGCTTAATCGAGATTCCACTCGAGTACAACTTCGTAGTTGTTTAGGGTCAACTTCGTAGTCGCAAGCTTCGTAGCTTAATCGAGATTTCACTCGAGTACAACTTCGTAGTTGTTTAGGGTCGACTTCGTAGTCATTGGAGTTAGCCGGCTTTATAGCCGTTTTGAAAAATTTAGTTTTTCAAGTAATCATAATGAAATCGACATGGAAATGTAAAAGACACAATTTAAACATAAACTTGGAAGTCATTACATTACTGAGTTTGATTAAGCATTGTTCAGTACAAAAGAGTTCAAAACACTATCTTAGGCATAAAAGCGTTTGAGATGGATCACGTGCCAAGATCGCGGCAACTGTCGCCCTTCGCCATCCTCGAGTTCATATGCACCTCTTTCGAGCACTTTGGTGATGGTGTAAGGTCCTTCGCAGTTAGCTTCAAGCTTCTCGACATGTTTAAGAGCATCTGCTCGTTTGAGAACGAGATCTCCCACTTGAAATCGTCTGGTGCGGACTTTTCTGTCGAAGGCTGCACGCATCTTCTGCTTGTATTCCATAGATCGCACCCAAGCTTCCTCTAGTCCTTCTTCTATCATATCGAGGGCTTCTTTGATCATCTCTTCGTTATTCTTTTTCTCATAAAATGTCGACCTGTGAGAATCTAAGCCGACTTCGATGGGCAAGAGTGCATCCATTCCGTAAACCATGTGAAATGGCGACTGGCCTATCGAGCTTCTTGGGGTCGTCCTATAAGCCCATAGAACTGTTGTCAGCTCATCGACCCAAGCACCTGATGCTCTCTCCAATCTCTTCTTTAACCCTTGGAGAATGGTTCGATTAGTCACTTCGACTTGGCCATTAGCCTGGGGGTGTGCGACCGAGGCAAATATTTGCTTTATTCCCATGTCGAGGCACCATGCTTGGATTCGTTTTCCTTGGAACTGAGTCCCGTTGTCAGAAATTAGCACTTTCGGAACTCCGAACCGACAACAGATGTTGTTAAACAGGAATTGAATCATCTTCTCCTCCGTAATTTTTGCCAACGGTTCCGCTTCGACCCACTTGGTAAAATAGTCGACAACGACTACTAAGAACTTCCTCTTCCCTGTTCCCGTCGGCAATGGTCCTACCAAGTCGATTCCCCATTGCGCGAAGGGGATCGGGGTGCTTATGGTCGTCATGTATTCAGCGGGGATATGAGTAATTTGCCCATGGCGTTGACATATTTCGCA